TGCAGTGTACAAGTTCACATGACATGATGGATCAGGAAATAAATGTTTTGAGTTATTGGTTGTCCTTGATCAAAAAGGAAAAAAAAATCTAAATTTTGATACTGTTTAAGACTCATTTTAAAAGTTCTAAACCTATTTGCAATGCAATACAGAATGATGTATTATTATTCATACTTTTCGGGATTCTGTGACAGTGATTTCAGCAGTGTCTACCGTATCTTTATAATTCTGAATCACCAGAATTTTGAAAGTAGCTGGCATACAAATGAATTCAAATATAATCCAATAAAAATATAAGCAATGACTTACTGTCTTAACCCACATCAGTCTGATCTCACAGGGGCCAACTAAGTCCTCAGGGAAAAACAGAAGTCAGCAGATGGCTTATAAAGAGCCATCAAAGCTAATATTGATTCACTTGACTTCCATGCATTGGTCCAACTCTTTATTGAAGTTGGTCAAGCTACTAGACACTATGACGAGAATACATGTTAAAGATCATCTAAAATCATACCAGTCAAAGAATATAGAATTTGGATGAGATAATACTAAAAATATCCATGGACCGTTCTCATCCTGGACACTCATATTTCGAACTGTTACCATGAGGGAGGCATTATAGGTGTCTTAAAATGAGGACTAATAGATTGAGAAACAGTTTCTTTTTTAAGGCAGTAACTGTCTTGAATCAAACAGTGCATTTGTGATTTATTATTATTATTATTATTATTATTATTATTATTATTATTATTATTATATACTCTGTAGTGTGATTGTGATGTGGTGTTTGGGGCACTGTGCTGGAGTAGCTTTCAAATTTCATTGTATTCATAGAATGCAATGGCAATAAAGGTATTCTATTCTATAGAGGCAAATATCTCAGAGACATTTGAGATAACAAATAACAAAGACGTATTAAATCATATAAAATCAAACACATCACTAAAAGCTAAAAATCATAAGACTACATCTGATTTACTTTGGCCATGTCATGCATGCAAATTTATTGGAGAAGGCAATGATGCTAGCAATGGTTAGTGGACAAATAAGAAGGGGCAAAGAACATGCTGGCTTGATAACTTCAAAGAGTTCTCTGTTCATTATCCAAAATATAGAAGTCTAAACCAAACCATAATGATATTATATCAGCAGCAATTAGGAATACAAAACCATTTTTTTTACCAATCCTATTGTGATAGATCAAGTACATTCAATAGATATTTCTTTTGTACTATATGCATATGCATATTTACGTTATATATGAATTATATTTTTTTATTTTAAATGATCAGAAAAACTAGGCAGTATAAATAATATTTTCTCCAAATAACAATGATTTTATCTTTATCATCTTATTAGTTTATCATTTTGAAATTTTTACAGACTGACAAATTACTATTTCCAATTCCATTTTTCCTACCACTGGCAAAATTGGTTTGGTTGCTAGGAACTGTAACGTCATCAACAAAAGATCTGTCACAAGTTGTGTTTAAACACCTATAATTCCCAGTTCAGATGAAAGCAGAAAAGCATGAAGTTCCTATGCTTTCATGTATGAAATTATCCATTAACTTCCATGGCATTCCCTCCCCCCCCCCCCCCCCCCTTTTTTTTTTACAACCCTGTAATCTTTTAATTTGGGGTGGAATGGAACTGAGCATTTAGTGGCCAAATGCCTTTCCTGACATCTACACAGAGTTTGTAGCAGATATTTTCTCTTTGTTCCTTAATAGAGAAACATCTGCTGCTGCCTAGGATTGAACTCTCAACCTTCCTAATGGGAGGCTAGTGCCTTCACCACTAGGCCACCACTAGGCCACTCTATTATCTTCCATAGCATTACAAAAACATGAAATTCTTATGATCTTTCATATCATAAAAGATGACAATTTAGATATTCTGTATTATTTAACTTCATTTGAATTAAATCATAAAAGGGTGTAATTGTAGAAAGTATAGATCTAATTTTACAGTTCCCGAATACAGCTTTATTCTACTGCATTCATTTTGCTAAGCTTGAGGAACAGTTTATTGATCTCAATCAATTCAATAATGGATCTTTACTTAGAGCTAGAAGTGAACATATTGTAATTCATGGCAGATAATTTATACTGGATGAAAATATAGTCATTTTATTAATTGCTTCTTTGTATTTAATGATAGAATCTATAATCAGTGTTTACTAACCGGAATATTTTCTATTTTCAGACGTAACTGAAAATCTTTACAGTATTTTTATACTTAGCAAGCAATTCAAACACACATATACAAAATACACAAACACACAATAGCAAGAAAATGCCATGTTCTCCAAAAACTTGGAGGCCAATGAATTTGACTTCACTCCAAGTTCTGCAGCTGTTATGATTCTAAATCTTTTATAAAACACACTTCATATTATAAAAGCAATTATCCATTTTTATTTGTTTACATTGCACTGAAAATTTACATCATACTTTTACAAATCCCCTTTTTTTCATAAAAATAGACTTCTTTACAAAAGTGTATGCATTAATATAAGAGGAGTAGCCAGTTGCAGAAGAAACAAGATTTTAAACAAGGTCACAAATATTAACCATAACAGTAATGAATGAATCATCATTATTGCAATCATTTGAATAAACCAGAATAAATAACAAATTGATGGTATAAAATATAAAAATGGCATTCTTTTAGTAGAAGACAGTATCTGGAAAGATGGGTACGATTTTCAAAAGAAAATGGTTTATAAGAAATTCATTAAACATTATAGAAATCCAAGCAGCAGTTCTTGGTTTAATACAGATTGGAGGATGGAAATGGGAAACTCGTGATCCTTTGGGGGCAATAGGCACTCTCTTATTACATTAATAAAAATTACTTTTTATTCCCATAGAGATGTTCATATCTGAGAAAAGAATATTTCCAGATAATTCACACCAGCTAATGTACAGCATTGATGAGTTCAAAATCATTTCATGCTATCAAAGGAAGACAATGAACTCTGATGTGGACATTACTCAAACCATATTTTGATAATTCAGTTATAAAGCTCCAGTCTGAACTAAAATTGTATTATTTTATATGAGAATGAAACAGGTAGATGGAATCTCAAATCTGACAGAAGAAAGTATGATTTGGAGAAATTGAGTGTATTCATTTCTGTACTGTAATTTATATTGTATACTGCCATGGAACAAGTGTAATTTAAGGTTTAACTCCACAACATAAATTCTAAAGTACATTTGAAAACAAACTTTCCCAAATTAATATGAAGCAGAATTTGTTGAACCTTAAAACAGTTAGGAAAATAACCTCCTGATTGGAATTAAACAGACCCATTCAATTGTAATTGATTGTACTTTGGCTTAACAGGCTTGTGAACTGGATTATAGAGCCTTCATTTAAAATATTTGTGTTGGCAGCACCCTTTGTACCTATAGTGGCATTGCTTTGGCACAAAATTCAGTGCACTTACTGAAACTCATTATTTCTTGGCACACAGCATATAATAGTGACACAAACATTGTAATGCTAAAATTACCTTCTTCCATACAGAATGTATATTATAAAATTGACAAAAAAGTACACATTTGTGTGTAAATCATAGGCTAAATTTAAGAATCAGGCAAATTCACAACAGATTCCTTATACAAAATGATAGAAGTGTTTTTTTTTTTTTTTACCAAGGCAAGGATTGCAGATGCAAGGAAATTAAAAAGGAAATTATTATTATTTCTTAATTAGGGTAAATGACTCCTGAAATCATGTACTTCTCAATAAAGAGAGTGCAATGCTAAGAGATTAAACCCTAATCCAGGAATCTGTGTACACTGTAATATGGGATTGTGGGTTTTCTTCTGTGGGACAAAAAAATTCAGAAGCATATTCCATAAAATGCGTATCATGCTGTTTCCCTGTCTTAGAACAGGAAAGCTCTGGAAATTTTGAGAAATGCATCAAAGGCATTGATGAGCTAAAATCTATATTTTTGTGACTGCAGGTTGGTGGCACCATGATGATCACATCTATCTCCAGCATTTAATGCAGTGTAGAAACAAAACTGATGAAGTGGATGATAGAGTGAGATGGGAAATGTACCATTTAGTCACCTTCATTGTCTAGAAGTGTGATGCTACTCTAATCTGCCATTTGTTCACTTGGAGAGAATTGAATTACTGGGAAAAGGAGGGGCAGTATGAAATTTATATACTTTTGCAATAGATCTTGGCAACCAAGATAATTGCAGTTGTGGCAGTTCTCAAATCTTATTCTATCGCTGACAAATTGATCACTATTGGGACAGATAACACAAAGGAAAAGAAAAGATGCTTGCATGACAAGAACAACAAAGCAGGGGATGAAACTCGTGAATTAAAAGAATCTGAGACCAGACAATTAATTATCCCATTGTGGCTCAGAAATAATGGGTTGTGCTTGCAAGCTTTAGCACGTTAATGATCATGGCATAATCTCAGAAATTCATAGTGAAGAGGAAGAGAGGAGAGGAAAATATTATTAAAGACCAGATATGATGGAATGGTTTTGCCTGTGACTATTAAAGAGATGCCATAGTCTCTTGCTGTCTCCTGTAAATATAACTCTTAATTCCTATAACATATTAATTTGTTCTTTGAAATCCAGTCCCTCTAGCAGTTTATAAAGCACAGACGTACTGATAGTGGATGCTCCTCCATTATATGCAAATATGTTATTATTTTATTTTATTATTTTTTTTAGAATAATCTTCTTTTTTTAAAAAAGCAAATAAACTGTGAATAAGCACTCATGGAGTGCAGCAGACATTCTGTAAAATACTCCACAGTAACCATGAAGTCAATATATATTTATGAAAAAAAGAAACCCACTCTAGTCTCTGTCTCATCCTCAGGAGAAGGTGATCCAGGAGATCCTGAAAAAATGTGCTTTTCTTTTCTTTTTTCTTTTAAAAACCAGTGAATGATAAGTCCACTATGACTGCATTTCAATCTTCAAACCACTGCAGTCAGGTCATCGCAATGTTATACCATTGTGCAAACTGTGTTCAGGTTTGGATCAAATCGCACAGCCTTCCCTTCGACAGACTTTGTGTTGGTGTCATACATGGGGTTTTCAAATGCAGCTTGTCCATTGTTATTTTCATGTACAGAGCAACCGGTGTACTGTGTTTTCGGTGCAGTTCTGTGGCAAATGGCAGAAAAACAGAAGATTGAATCAAATGATTATTGCAATTATAAATCAGCATATATAAACAGAAAATTACTTTCACAATCATCCAGGTCATGGATGTCCCTATTTTGACATAGGCTTCATAAAATTATGAAACAGACTCCTTGACCTGACAACCCCCCCCCCCTTTTTTTTTTTTTTTGAGGCTAATGTGAATTCCTATCATTCACATCCAGCAAAGTGCCGACAAACAGTCTTTCAAGGGTGAATTATAACCACAGACCTTATCAGGCTTGGAGAGTTTCCATGCCGATAGCTTACAAGTACAAGGCTGTACAAGAAAATACTTGGCAAGGAGTCTCTGAGAGTCATGAACAAATCTTCACACTAATTAAATGAACTAATTGTTTCCTGAAAACACCACTCCCCTTTCACTCCTCTTTATTCCCTATGGAAGGGGCTATTCACCATCCACCTGTGCCTTTACCCCCGAGTAGACACTTGTTCCTTAACTGTTCCCTTCTCCTGGCAGCTCTGCACATACGCACATCAGAAACAGGCTCCAGCTGTTCTTCTACCCCACTGATCTCTGACTCCAAAGGCAGCTGATAACTGTCAGACGGCCTTGGCCCCATCTCTGCTTCCGATGCAGAACACTTGTCAGAGCCTTCTCCAGACTCCAGGATTGGCCCATGTTCTCCCCAACCTCCTCATTGTCTGAGTCTTCCGCCAGCTCCGCTGGCCACTGGTGGGCCACAACAGTCTCAAAGGAACTTTTTCAAAAGGCAATTGGACTTTGGGGGGGCTTTTTTTCCCCAGTTGAAAATGTTTTGCTTTTCATCCAAGAAGCTTCTTCAGAATTTAGATGAAAAATGGTTAAGCCCTTCTTGTTGACGGACCAGGGACTGTGACTGTCTGCAGCTTCAGTCTGTGCTTTCTCATTGGAGAGCCCCAATCACTGTGAAGCTGCCTCGGAGGGGTGGTGGAGTAAGGGGAAGCTGCCAGCCAGGTTGAGGGGAGCCGCATCCCCCCTCCCTGGGCTAGGTAATTTTTCCCCCTGAAGACGACCGAGCAATGGTCTAAAATGGCCACCCTGAAGAGGAGGACTTAGCTGGACTAAGATTTGTGCAGGAGAGAAGAAAGAGGTGGACATATAAGAACAGGGCAACTTGGTGCAACAATTAATTAAAAAGTACTCCAGGATGGTATTTTAAGCATTTTTATGAAAGAATAAGAAAGCGGCGGATTTTTAAAGGGAAAGGAAAAAAAATATCTTTGACAGCTAAGCAGGGCTTTGAACCAGGATTGGAAGAAGCCGGAACAAGATATCCAAACAAATTTAATTAAAATACATTGCTAACAAATAGGCACAATTTAAAGCTGGACTTAGGAGTTTTCAAAAAGAAGGGGGAAATATTTAAATTGAAGAATTTATTGATTTGGAATACCGAGGTTTGGGAAGCCTGGAACAATAAAATGGTGTGTGTGTGTGTGTGTGTGTGTGTGTGTGTGTGTGTGTGTGAGGACATTGTATAATGGAAAGTGCCACCTGGTGGACAAAAATTTAAGCTAAAAAGTTCCTATTTCTCTATGAATCAGATCTGATACAATGAAAAGGAAATATTGAATCAATATAACAAGTACCTTAAAAAGTGAAAATTGAATTAGAACAAAAGAAAAAATATGGATTGTTGGACTGATTGGTGATTTTGCTATAAAACCAGTTCGGGAATAGTTGTTAACCCAGAAAGTTTGAAGAAGAAAAAAGAAAAAGATTGGTGATTGGTGGATTTTAATGACTATAAGATATGTAACGATGATATCTCTGTGGGATCTAAAAATGGAACTTAAAAATTTGAAAGAACTACTATATGCAAGAGGTGAACCACTTGCCTCTGAGTTAAAAGCTATGGAAATGGCGATTGAAGAATATGAAGAAGAAACCTCAGACAAGGAGGAGTTAGTTCAAGAAGAAGCCATCTTAAATAGACAATCAACACAAAGAACACGACAAAGAAGAGGAAAAAGAAGGGGGGTTAAAAATAGGAGACTTAAAAAAGTGACTAAAATGGGGAATATTTATAAAAACCGGAAAGAAAGAAATAGCATACTTAAACCACTGAGGTGACACCCCAAACTAGTAAAAGGAGAGGGGAAATTTATGTTTTGTTTTATGTGAAAAACTTGTATTAATCTAGACTTTATGAAAAGGATATGCGATGGAATTGCAAATTTGACAAGATAAAAAAGAATTAAAAGGGAATAAGTATGAAGATATGGAAACTATTAGTGATTTAAATGAGAAAAGAGTACTTTGGAAAAGGCAACATTTAAAAGAAATGTTAAGGCTTAAGAAATACATTTAAAATAAATTGAAATGAATTGAGAAGATGTTTAGAATGAGAGTAATATTAATGAATAGCATTAACTTGCCTGTTCCTTTTCTTATATAAAAGTTGAAAGGTAAAATGAGAAAAGAGTAGTTTGGAAAAGGCCACGCTTAAAAGAAATGTTGATGTTTAAAAAATATATTTGAAATAAATTGAAATGAATTGAGAAGATGCTTAGAATGAAAGTAATATCACTTAACAGAATTAATGTGTTTGTTTCTTTTCTTATGTAAAAATTGAAATGGAGAAGTAATAATAGAATTAAGTAAAAATGGACAAGACAGAATGTTGAATGTAAAAATGAATATATAATTACTGTCATATTTACATGTAAAAGTGGTGACTGTACACTGAAAAGAGCTTTTTTATGTTGTTTTGGAAAAAATGAATAAAACGTGTTTTAAAAAAAAGAATTTGGATGAAAAATGAAGTGTTTTCAAAGAAAGAAAAAACCCAAGAAACTCCAGTTGTGCCTTTTGGAAAAAGCACCTTTGGGACGATTGTAGTAAAATAATTTTATAATTTTGCTTCCAAGGAAATGTGTTTCAAGAAAAAGATGCTTCTTTAGGAGCCTCTAATCATGACTGGAAGATATATTTCAGGAAGACAGAAACAGATTAGATCATCTTTCAGTCACCCTGGCCTACAATGCTCTCCCCCTCTTTTCTAGTTTTAATGTGGCACTTTCCCGTTCAGCTAACACAATCCTTGCAAGACAGACCATCAGAGGTAATTTTAAATAAGTGCCTTACTCCTTTTTGGGTACTTGAGGTTCTGGCAAACATAGCCTCTGTGATCAATGGATTTTACAGCCAACCATTTTTTGACAGCAGAATTGGAGTTCATTCACCGTGCCAGACAATCAACCAGTTTTCCTAACAACTTCATCAGACCTAGCAGCAGATCCCTAAACTACAGGGCTTGGGGAAATGATAAAAGTTGTATGTTTGTGTATGCATGTATAAAGAAGACACCACTTAGTCACCACTACAGATATAGGTAAGCCTATCCATCAGCACTAGTAGAGAATACAAGGAGAGTTTGATTCAGAGGGTTGGAAAAGTGTAGTTTTTGATAAATGTCCATCAGCCTTCTGGAAAACAAGTGGACATGTGTCAAAAATACACCCCTATATAGGGATTAGCTGTCACAGGAGCACATCTTCTGCCAACCATAGATCATTGTCCTGCTTCCCTCCACTTAACCTACCAAGAGAAGTGTGGAAGGTAATGTTTTGCTGTCTTCTGCATCTCTTACCATGGGTGGCAAGAAAATGGGAAGAGAAAGTAGGGGATAATG